AGTCGCCCTCATCTTATCCCCCGTAAGGAATGGTTACTCGGTCAAATGATCCGGGGTGATGCTTTTACTGAAGCCCACGGCTAACAACCAAGTCGCTAGATTTCGGATCTGTTTCCGGCCGAAGTACACAGGTGCCGATTAAACACATATGAACAGTGACGCACTAACATAGTGAGTCCGATTTCAAACTGGGTTCGCCCCGACCTGTGGCTGTTACGACCAACAAGCCTTTGTCGATGCTGCTGATCTGTAATGTGTCCAGCCCGTGTTCGTTCTGGTGTTTTTCTACCAGCCCAAACGAGTGAAGATGTCAACCCTAGTAAAGTGATTACCGTGTTTTGGTAACTATGCCCTAGGGCCTGGAAAAGTCACGCTTTTTATCCAAGTGAAAAATACGAGAAACTTACCTGTAAACGGAAATAAAAAGATTGTCATTCTTACGACTACAGTTACTTGCATAGTTGTGTCGTGTGATGGACGGAATAGTTTTCACTGAAAGGCACACATCTTTGGACATGGACAAAATGTAAGATATCAAAAGTGGTTGTCAATGTGCGCACGGAATCTGACACACAACAATAATTATTTCATGTATTTGCCACGGCAAGCAGTGTAGAAAAAATCATTACAATAAACGCAATCGATAATCACGAGTCGCGCGCATAAACGTCTGGGTTGTCACACGACGAACAGTCAGATGAAGAACAGCTGACTTGTGTGTGTTTGTATGGCGAAGGAGTGAGGGGTGAGGCGGGGGGCATTGCATCATGCACGGTCACCATGACCTAATGAACAATAAATCAATCTGATCTCAGCTGATCAATTTGACTGTTCACGAGGCAGACGCAGATCAGCATTAACAGGCGTTCCCAGTATGAAAACGATGAGACAGAAAGTACCGATAACGAAATCAAACCAATCAATCGCTTCTTACCACACGGTAAGTGAATAGGAGGGTCTGAGTAAAGCGAGGGAGCTGGCTGTTCAATGCGGTTACAGAAAAGATAAATTATTACGAGACAGATAATGTGGTGCATAAGCCCCAGTCAACGTTATCCAGTTTCGGTTACCTAATATTGTACGCTTGTTCTTTCACCGAACACCTACTGTGGATTGCAGAAACTACGGAATATGGTATTTTTTACGGAAGTGATTTATTACTACAACGGTTGGTGATCTGCACCCGGAATTGTGAATGTTTGCACCTTCACTGAAACGTTTAGGTTCACAGCGTTTAACTTATTTCGCCTTTCAGGTTTGTTTTCATCCGTCATCCCGTTTCGCTGAACTCGCTCCGTCCGGTCAGTTTCGTACAGTCACGGGTCATCCAGAGTACGAACCGAACTGTGTCGTGTTCGTATTGACTCTGAGCTGAGCTGCACGAGCCTGGAGCTGTTCTAGCATCACGTTACAAAAACCTGTTCAACGTGATTCGAATCAGGTGACCATTAAATTGCATGGCACTTGATCTTACTCATCACCTATTGTTCCCATGGCGCACGGCTCATCACCAAAGCCAATGAATCATTCTCCTCCTGTTGACGACAAAAAGTTGAACTTCTTTTGCACAGAGAACACAGACATACTAAAGAACCACCATTGTCGTCTATCTGTTCTAATCGGACGGCTGTTTGAAGATTTTAACGATCAAATCTGCCATCATGGGACTGAAAATTACTCGGGTGAATCGGTCCCCGGGTCGGGCCTATTTCTATTCATCGTAAACAAAACGGTCCGTATCTGCCTCGCAAGGTTATGTGCGCAAAGTATACGGAAAAAAATTTGCAGACTAATTTACGCTTCGCGTATACCCCGATCAACTTTGTACTAGGCAATTGCAGCCGAAAATTATTTGAAAAGAAAGTGTGGATCATTGTCAGAAGTACAAAGCTTACAATCTCTGCAAAATAAATTTTAGTTACATAGACTATTGTGCAATACATAACCGAATTTTTCATCTAGAGGAAATTTGTACGTTTCGACCGGATAACCCTAAAAGTTGTTTAATTTTCTCGAAAAGCAACAAGTAAAGAAACCGTAGAAGATACGAATGTAAAACTCCGATAACTGACTAAACAACATGAAATGATGAGGAAATTCTCAGTTATTTCAATCACCAAGCAAATGCTCGGTTGATGGAGTGTTGAAGCACGCTTGCTGCGATTTCGGAGGTCTGTGAGATTCTAATCCATAAGAAATGGATTACGAGGGATATATTGGTAAGCCAGAAGCTATAATCCATCATATGGAGAAATAAAATGATTAGGAGGTCGATTGCAACAGTGTGAACTCCGGACATACCTGACGCCGAACAGCCCGATTGACTGTAGATGAAGGACCTCTGTCCCGCGGAGTCGGTGTGCCTGACCTCGAACCTGGAGCGGCCACACGATCGGGGACAGCGGAAGAGAAAAGACCGGAACCGAATCGGTACACCCCACCGATAATCCACGAGACGCAACCGATAAAGCTTGAGACACCGGACTGAACAACATCGTAAATCTGCCCGAACCATCCGGCTGGGGTAAAGCGAAAAATTAAAAAAAAATGCAAAAATAGATCGTGGAAAGTGTTCGGTTGCGAGCTAGATGAAGCACACGTTTCGGAGCAGGTCCTAGTCAACCTCAACATTAAGCGATTGAACTCAAACTAGGAAATTTATCGGTTATCGGAACTGATCTTTTCTAGTACTTCCTTGTAAGTACTCAGGTTCGGAATATCTCCGACTATATTATTATTATTATTATTATGATGATGATGATGATGATGATGATTTCAACACGCAACCAATTACAGAGTACTGGAAAATGTGCCACAGCATGCTAACAAACAAAAATGTAGAATGCATTCCTAGGTTGTGTTGGTATGTTACTTCCCGGTTGCCCTGGCCGAGGACAGGAGATAAGCCTTTGGCTAGAAAGCCAGACAACAGGACGGAGCTCAGAGACCGCAGTCCATTGGGGAATGGTGTCCAGTTCATTGGACCATACACACATAGAACGGGGTCAAAGTTCCAAGGTGCTCAATACACCTCGATGCCCAAACGAGCCGGTGATCACTGTCATAACCGGGAAAGTGTGCGTGGTTCGCACGCCTCCTCTTGGTTGGTTTGGAATCAGGGTTTTTGGCCAACTCCCCTAGGTGAACTACCAGTGGTCCACCAACCTGGTTATATCCCCGGATGTTGGCTTTTCGTCCTCTAAATTTGGTGGGGAAACACCTCCGCCACGAGAAGGCAGTGAATAGGGCTTCCTCAGCATAGGCTATTTGAGACACTTGGTCGTCTGGGAGCATTTCGCGAAGTTTCAAAGGAAGGGTGTCCAGTCACAACCCTAGACACCCACCCCGACCATACTGAGGCTTTTGGAGACCACGTGTGAAAGACTCGTTATTCAGTGCTTTCGGAGGCAATGCACGCACAAGGCGAATTTGGAACAGTTTACGAAATTATTGCAGTATTCAAATGCCAAGTTATTTAAGCAATCCAACTGAAAATTGTGGTTTTGTTAGCTAAGAGACCGGTAAGGTACTGTTTCCAAATGCGGATGTACGTGTAGGGGTTGAACTTGGAGCATGCTCGGAAATACGAGACAGTTTTCACGATAATGTGATGCAGAAAGTGCTGAACATTTTGAGTCATCCTATCCATGGACGTGTCACATACATCGAAAAGCTTGGAAACAGAAAGAAACAAACAAAATAGTATAACGATATCGAACTAAAACGACTTGGAGACCAAAGTAAAGATGTTTTCCTTTGAACCAGGGAGAAATAGGGAAACCAAGTACAATCAATAAGGGACCAAAAAGTTAAGAATATTATTTTAGGAAAC